CTATTGATGAACTAAGAAGAAACATATCTGAGAATACAGCTCAAATAATGAATATTCAGGACTTAGAAAAATCCCATGCCAAATTACAAGAAGAGGTATGTCTTTTATTCTTTTCATCCATTGTCACTTATTCCTTTCGCCTTTCAATGAAAGACAACTAGTAAGGAGTGGCTAGGATGTGGTTCATTCATTGACTGGGTATTTTTTAAGTGGCTAATGTAGCAGGCACACTCCTGGGTTATAGAAATACAATGAGAACAAGGTGGACAAACCCCCTAAAATTCTTCTGATTCATTTGTAGTGAAAGAAAGTAGCTGATAAATAAGAAATCAAATGAACAAGAAAACGTTATGGTAAATGCTATAGAGAAAGTGAAACATTGGGATAACTGGGCCAACCTATATTAAAAGCCTACTCTATGCCAGACATTGAGACTATAGATATGAATAAGACATTTTTCTTTCCCCCCATTATAGGCAAGAAAAAAAGCTAGAAAAAAAAAATCCCTCAATTCCAATATGGTAAATGAAGAAATATGCAAAATTACATGGTACCACTAATTGATCATGGAAAGAAAAATCAATCTATACACATAGAAAAATTGAGACATAGCTTTGGAGACCATCTGAAAACAGAGATCATACATTCATTGGGATATAGTTTGCTCAACTATGGTTTTTCTCTTGTAGCATTTGGAAACTAGTGGAGAAATAAGAAGTGTGCAACTGACTGCTAGTAAAATATAACGGTTGGTTCACCTTGGGCCTAAACTAGAAAAAAGGAAAATTATGACAGAATATGACTACTAGAAAAGTCATGAATAGCTTTAGCAGGAATTGAGGGAAAATGAATTATGAGGAGTTTGTGATCCAAGGTAGGCTGAAGGTTCAAGATGACTTTCCTTGTTGCGAAAAGTATACTGATCTTTTCCCTTTAAAAATTTATGATAATAGCCACCTGATTACAGGTGCAGTGGCTTACACCTATAATCCCAGCACTTTGGGAGGCTGAGGCGGGCAGATCACCTGTGGTCAGGAGTTTGAGACCAGCCTGGCCAGCATGGTGAAACCCCATCTCTACTAAAAATACAAAATTAGCTAGGTGTGGTAGCACACACCTGTAATTCCAGCTACTCAGGAGGCTGAGACAGGAGAATCTCTTGAACCCAGGAGGCGGAGGTTGCAGTCATCTGAGATTGTGCCAGTGCGCTCCAGCCTGGGTTACAGAGAGAGATGCTGTCTCAAAACAACAATTATAATAATCTCCAGATAGTAACCTTGGTATTTTATGAATGTCCTAAGATCCCAGTGCTTCATGACGAACAGGAGCTACTTCCTAATGTGCAAGAAGTCAGTGAGACTCAGGAAACAGTGAATGAACTGGTGTTAATAAAAGAACAGTCCACAACCAAGGACTCAACAACACTGGCAAGCATAGAAATGGAAAGGCTCAGGTTGAATGAAAAATTTCAAGAAAGTCAGGAAGAGATAAAATCTCTAACCAATGAAAGAGACAACCTTAAAATGATAACAGAAGCCCTTGAATTTAAACATGACCAGCTGAAAGAACACATTAGAGAAACTTTGGCTAAAGTAAGTTTTATATTTTCCTCCCATTGTAATAAGTGTCTTAAAAGAATCAAGGCTTGTGTTTGTGTGATAGTTATAATATTTGTATTATAATTATAATGTTACCAGTTTTTTAATGTCTCTTAATCATGAGTTGATTAGAAACAGAACAATTAAAAATTGTTCATGAATACCAAGAAGCTTTGAAACTTAGAGATGTTTCAAAGAAGACAGCTGTTTTCTTAAATATTCAAAAAATGATTTAGAAAAAATAAATCTAAACTACAAGAAAGAGTGAAAGCAATTATGGATTCTTTTCTTCTTTAAAACTGTTTTTCCAATGTTTCATAAAGCATTAAGTCTTTCTCATTGTTTTAGTCAGAAATCTAGAAGTTATCTCTACTAATATCCCTTCCTCTCTGCTTATTCTGTAATCCAGTCACCAAATCTTGTTGATTTGAGTATGTATTTTAAAAATCATCCTGCTTTTCTCTCCACACTGCCGCCACCCTAATCCAAGCCACCATCATTTCTTTCCCTGATTATCTGCAGTAGCCTCCTAACTGGACTTCCCACACTCATTCTTACACTTCTCTAATCCAGTTTCTAATACTGAGCCTAAGTGATCCTTTCTCACATTCTTTTAATATCTTATTGTTACTTCTTAAATAAAGACCAGGATCCTCTATATGGCCTATGAGGCCCTAGGTGCAGATCTTTCTGGTCTCACTTCAGTTCACTCTTCTTCATATTCTTTGTTCTCCAGCAACACTCATGTGTTGCTCTCCTAGCTCATGAGTTTCAGATTCTCAGGTCTCTGTATCTGTAGTCCTTCTATACTCCTTTTGCCTGACTAATGCTCTTATCCTTCAGATCTCAGTTACAGCTTTCTTTCCTCTAGGAAGCCCTTCCTAATTATTCACAATAGGCTATATTTGCCACTTAGGCCCTAGGAGAAGCCAGCAGCTCTGTTTGGTAAGATTCAGGATAATATCTATCTTTGTCCTTAAAATATAAGTCTCAAAAAGAGAGACATGATGTAAGTCTAATCATTTTGTCTCCAACCTCGAATAAGATGCAGACAACACAGTGAGACCTCAATTTTTAAAAAGCGTTAAATGCCTGAATAATGGAAGAGTGGGAGAGTGGAGAGATTGCTCTGTAAATGAGGCATTGAATTCTGCCTTAATTGTTTTAGAAAGCATCCTGATTTATTTTCCCCTAAAATACAGTATCTCTGGATATCAACTGTACTGTTTTATGATTCTCTTCAGATCCAAGAATCTCAAAGCAAACAAGAACAGTCCTTAAATATGAAAGAAAAAGACAATGAGACTACTGAAATCATGAGTGAGATGGAGCAATTCAAAGACAAAGATTCAGCACTAGTAAGAATAGAAATAGAAATGCTCAGATTGTCCAAAAGACTTCAAGAAAGTCATGATGAAATGAAACCTTTGACTAAGGAGAAAGATGACCTACAGAGGTCGCGAGAAGTTCTTCAGTCTGAAAGTGACCAGCTCAAAGAAAACATAAAAGAAATTGTAGCTAAAGTAGGTTTCATCTTTTCACCATGTTTTTTTTTTAAATATTTTATAACCAAATATTTTTATAAACCCTAAATATTTGGAAAAGGGAGCTAATTACAGCATAGTGGTCATAATGTTTCTATAAATTTACCTGAATTTTCTCTAATAATAAAGCACCTGGAAACTGAAGAGGAACTGAAAGTTGCTCGTTGTTGCCTGAAAGAACGAGAGGAAACTATTGATGAGTTAAGAATCAATCTTTCAGAGAAGGAAACTGAAATATCAACCATTCAAAAAGAATTAGAAGCAATCAATGATAAATTACAGAACAAGGTAAACTGGGGATGAAGAAACAGTAAAAGGAAATGTGTGGGGGGTGAGTAGCAAGCTGGATTATGAATACTTTTTAGCATACTTAATTGCTTTGGAAAGCAACCTTTTTTTCCCCTTAAGTTTGTGTGTGTGTGTGTGTGTGTGTGTGTGCGTGTGTGTCTGTATGTGTTTACATATATATTTTTTTGACTGTTAATTTATTTTATTATGTTTAAGATCCAAGAGCTTTATGAGAAAGAGGAACAACTTAAACAAATAAGTGGGATTCAGGAAAAAATGAATGAACTGGAACAATTGAAGGAGCATCTGAAAGCCAAAGATTCAGCACTACAAAGTATAGAAAGTGAGATGCTCAAGTTGACTAATAGACTTCAAGAAAGTCAAGAAGAAATACAAATTATGATTAAGGAAAGAGATGAACTGAAAAAAGTACAGGAGGCCCTTCAGATAGAGAGAGACCAACTGAAAGAAAACAGTAAAGAAATTGTAGTTAAAGTAAGTTTCCATCTTATATTTTTTGCATACAGAAATAGTGTTAAGGTGATAATGATGATGTTCACTGTTGAGTTTTATTAATTTTCCTCTAATGATAAAAGTACTAGAAATAAAAGAGGAACCAGAAACTGCTTGTATTCAACTTAGTACCAGTCAACTGTTAGTAGACGGAGTATTTCAGAAAAGACAGCTCAAGTAGCAAATATTCATTGGGATTTAGAAAATTCTGATGATGAATTACAGGAAAAAGTGGGATTTGTTAAATTAGAAAATGACATCTAATTAGTGTTACTCATATCCCTAATGAAAGAAAACAGTACATACATTAAATTAAAATGTAAAAGTGATTGCCTTATTTTAGGAACAATTCTTCCTTTTCCTAAAAAAAAAATTTTTGCCTATGTTGTAAATTACTTTATAATTTTCTCAGATGCAAGAATCTCAAGAAAAACATCAGCTTCTTAAGATGACAGCTGTCAATGAGACTCAGCAAAAAATGTGTGAAATAAAACATTTGAAGGAGCAACTTGAGACCCAGAAGTTAACCCTGGAAAAAATAGACATGGAAAATGTAAGGTTGACTCAGATACTACATGAAAACCTTGAAGAAATGAGATCTGTAACAAAAGAAAGAGATGACCTTAGGAGTGTGGAGGAGACTCTCAAAGTAGAGAGAGACCAGCTCAAGGAAACCCTTAGAGAAACCATAGCTAGAGACCTAGAAAAACAAGAGGAGCTAAAAATTGTTCACATGCATCTGAAGGAGCACCAAGAAACTATTGATAAACTCAGAGGAGTTGTTTCAGAGAAAACAAATGAAATATCAAATATGCAAAAGGACTTAGAAAATTCAAATGCTGCCTTAAAAGCACAGGTATTTTTTTTTTAAGTTATATGAGTTACTGAGAGTTTGAATCAAATCTTTTTGTGTAATGAAACAAGATATGAGTTAGCCTAAAATTGAAGGCAAGTGAGGAGCTACTTGCCTACTCAATTTAGAAACTTTTATCTTTTTATATCTCCTTATATCCTTATTGTATGATTATCTGAAGATCCAAGAACTTCAGAAGAAAGAACATCAACTTCTTAAAAGTGAAAAGTAAAAAATGATCTCAGGAAAACTATGTATCAAACAGACCAGTTAAAGAATCAATTAGAAACCCAGAGTTTAACTCTGAGTAAAGTGTAGAAATGGAGAAATTAAGATTGACCCAGAAGCTTCATGAAAACTTTAAGGAAAATGATGGCTTAAGAAGAATAGAGGAAACCCTTAAAATGACTAGAGACCACCTTAGGGAAGGCCTTAGAGAAATAGAAGCTAAAGTAAGTTAGCTCATTCCTTTCCCTAGCAATTCAATGCATTGTCATCTTACAGCAATGAACCCTTCTTTGAACCAAGTAATCCTGTTGGCAAGAATGAGATAATGTAACCTTTTAAGCAGATAATTTGGTTCTTGAAAATGCTGAACTCTGCAATTACCATTTTCTTTATGGACTTTAGCCTGCATATATACTGTTAAAGAGTGTGTGTGTATACAAACACAACATATACATATACCACAAGTTATTTATTGTAGCAGTTTTAAAAATGTGAAACAATCTAAATGTTCTCAGAAGGAAATAGTAAATACGAACAGTATGTCAAAATACTGTGCAACACTTTAAAAAGGTAATATATTTGTAATGTGTTTGCCTCTGGAAAGCAGAAGTAGAGTGTGAAAAGATGAGGACAGGGAGGAGAAAGCTTATAACTTAAGAACAACAGCAAAGATACAGAGTAACAGTGTTACTATTTTTACTAAGAAAACATATCACTTTATTTTTAAAAAACTAATATTAAGATATATCACTTTTTAAATTTTCTCTAATGATAAAGGATCTGAAAAAACAAGAGGAACTAAGAATTGCTCACATGCATCTAAAAGAGCACCAGGAAACCATTGACAAACTCAGAGGAATTGTTTCTGAGAAGACAGACAAAATATCAGATATGCAAAAAGATTTAGAAAATTCAAATGCTAAATTACAAGAAAAGGTATTTTTGTTGGGGGATTGTTGGATTGGATATCTGATTTATTTGTGCCTAAAATTGTTGGGGATATAAAATGATTCAACCACACTGGAAAACACCTTGGCTTTTATTTACTAATGCTGTACATAGCCTGCCTTAAGCCCTACATTTCCACTTCTTGGGTATGTACCTAAGAAAAAAAGACTATGTACATACTTCTATAAAAAGACACAAGAATGTTTATAGCAGCATTATTCAAAATAGCAAAAACTGGAAACTCAAATGTCTGTCAGCAGGAGAATGGATTAAATACATTGTGATATATAAGCTCAAAAGCAGGCAAAACTGAACCAGCATGATAAAGGTCAGAATAGTGGCTGCCTCCAGGAAGGAGCACACAGAAACTTTATGAAGTGCTAGAAATGTTCTCTGTTTTAGTCTGGGTTGTAGTTTCATAGATTTGTACCTCTGTCAAGAATGATTAAGTTATACATTGAAGATTAGTGTGCTTTATGTATATTATACCTCAAAAGAAAATCAAATTCTGTGTGGAGTTATGCAAGATATCAGTGAGAGTAACATGGGTAGACAGTTGTCTTAATAAATTTAGAAACTATTATTATTTATTTGTCTCTGAAAAGCCACTTAACATATTATTTTATGGTTATCTTAAGATTCAAGAACTTAAGGCAAATGAACATCAACTTTATAAGTTAAAAAAAGATGTCAGTGAAACACAGAAAAAAGTGTCTGAAATGGAGCAACTAAAGAAACAAATGAAAGACCAAAGCTTAACTCTGAGTAAAATAGAAATTGAGAACTTAAATTTGGCTCAGAAACTTCATGAAAGCCTTGAAGAAATGAAATCTGTAATGAAAGAAAGAGATTATCTAAGAAGAGTAGAGGAGACCCTCAAACTGGAGAGAGACCAACTCAAGGAAAGCCTGCAAGAAACCAAAGCTAGAGTGAGTTGTGTTCTCTCTTTACCCTACGGTGATGTTCACACATTTGGGCAAAAATACAGTGTTCACTGCAGCACTGTGTGTGGTGACTAAAACCTAGAAGTAATCTAAGTGTCCACCAATAAGGCACTGTCTGTATAATGGAAAACTAAGCATAAGAATGGGGTACTTTTTATGTGATACTGATTTAGAACCATGTCCAAATGGTATGAAAGGAGAAGGCTATAGGGGAGGCTAGCAGCAGGAATTTTTACTTTACTGTTCTAATTTGGGAGGTTGTCTAACTGTTGTTTTTAACTGTGAGTGTGTATTTTTTAAGATTTTCTTTAAACTCATTAATCATTAAGTAAGGTAATGTGCCTTTATATCATTACATTTCTTGATTTCTCCTAACAATAAAGGATCTGGAAACACAACAGAAACTAAAAACTGCTCATATGCAATCAAAAGAACACCAAGAAACTATTGATAAACTTAGAGAAAAAGTTTCAGAAAAGACAACTCAAATTTCAAACATTCAAAAGGATTTAGATAAAAGTTGAATTACAGAAAAAGATATGTGTTGTTTTGCTCTTTTTTTAGATGCAACTGTGTCCAAAATTACTTGTGGAATTAGAAAAGATACAGATACAGATATGTAGATATATATGTGCATATAGAACACAAGTAGACACTACTCTTCTTGAAGAAACTGCTTACATTCTGACTTGTTTTATAATTTTCTCAAGATCCAAGAACTTCTGAAAAAAGAACTTCAACTGCTTAGAGTGAAAGATGTCAATGAAAGTCACAAAAAAAATAATGAAATGGAACAGTTGAAGAAGCAGTTTGAGGCCCAAAACTTATCTATGCAAATTGTGAGAATGGATAACTTGGAATTGACTAAGAAACTTCATGAAAGCCTTGAAGAAATAAGAATTGTAGCTAAAGAAAGAGATGAGCTAAGGAAGATAAAAGAATCTCTCAAAATGGAAAGGGACCAATTCATAGCAACCTTAAGGGAAATGATAGCTAGAGTGAGTTCAGAATCTTCCACTGTGTAGTAACTATTAATAAGAATTAAGCTTTTTTTGGCCGGGCGCGGTGGCTCACGCCTGTAATCCCAGCACTTTGGGAGGCCGAGGCGGGTGGATCACGAGGTCAAGAGATTGAGACTATCCTGGTCAACATGGTGAAACCCCGTCTCTACTAAAAATACAAAAAAACATTAGCTGGGCATGGTGGCGCATGCCTGTAATCCCAGCTACTCAGGAGGTTGAGGCAGGAGAATTGCCTGAACCCAGGAGGTGGAGGTTGCGGTGAGCCGAGATC